TCGGAATTGGGACTGGGATTGGGCAACAGCAACCATAACAATCGTATTAATCGTGCAATAGCAAATTAATGCAAGGCATTGTAAGGCCCGACACGATTCCTGTTAGTAACGCTGATTAGGATCTAGCCGGGGCCTCACGCACACCGCACAAGCATCTCCACACACATTAATGTGTCAACATGTGCGATAAGTCCGCATCCAGCGACAGAACACACAGTAGTTGTCGCTGCTCGCTGGTAGCCCACAAATACAAATAATTCTGATGTCTAGTTCCTGGTAGCGAGATAATGTGTACAAAAGATACGATAAGGATCGCACACACACACACACACACACACACATATGCGATTCGTGCGAATGTCACTGCGACCACAACAATGTGCGCATAATGAGTGTAGAGACTGTAGCAGCGTTCTGCAAGCAGCCAGCAGGATCTCAGCACAGAGATATCAACAGAGAGAGATAGAGAGAGAGAACTCCCGTGAGCGTAATTCTCAAAGCCATAAACTACACTTTTTTTTGGCCGTCTCTCAATTTGGAATGCCTCCGTTTGGCATGCTACATAAATCTTTTGGGGCAGGACATGCGCCTGAGGAAAATTTCATTGTTGGATTTTTATTGCAATATGCAAATGGTTTGTTTGCCTTGATTTCCACTTCTCAGCCCAGGCTGACCTTCAACCCCTCCGCGCTTAAAGCATGCGGTTGACCGCATTCTCAGCAGCAAAAAGGGTTGCATTCAGCTCAGCCTCGACTCAGTTTCTTGCTCTGCGTGCTAACAACTTGATTAGAGAAACTTGCCGTACATTATTCTTGATTAAGTCACATTAATTATGATAATGATGACGACTGTCTCGAATCGGAAAGAGAACCAGACTCGGGGTTCTTCTAAAGAGCGACGCAGGCAATTGAAACGGGAACAGGATATTGTTTGACTTCAAGGTCCACACAATGCAACGACGTGTGCGCGAATAAAAAATGAGCACAACAGCAGCAGCAGCAAAAAACGAACATAAAAACAGAGAATAGAGAAGCAAAGAATTATATCTCTATATATATATAGGTAAATGTGCGTGTGTGATAAATGTCAACTTCCTGCTCAGCATCCGACACGCCTGAACTGCCCTAGCTGGCTGGCTGGCTACTGGCTGACTGGCTGATGACTTCATCAGTAGGCCATCTAGATTATATACGGAAGTTATCTAATAACGGCTGACACTTTTAATCCTTTTATGAAATTAATCAAGTGTGGCCATGAAAGATCCCAAAAAAGGAAAAAAAAAAAAAAGAGAAAACAATAAAGGAAACTCCGAATTGGGCAGCTGCCAACTGCAGATGCAATTGACTCGCTATTGAGTTTGACTTGGATAATTGTTAAAAAAAAAGAGGGAATAAAAGAGACTGATAGAGAGGGTGGTATATAGAAAAAGTAGAAATTGATTTTGCGAGAGTTGCTATACATATAGTTTATAGTAGATGCCTTTGGTAAACTCCTTCATTTGCTCATGATTTTCAAAAAGCAGCAATCAGACTTGATATGAGTAGAATAAGTGTTAACCAAAGGACGGTAAAAATACATATATATATAGTGGATAGGTCAGTAAGAAAGGAATCGACTTCATAATTATTTTAAAATAAAATAAAATTATAATGCCTTAAAATAATAACAAAAGTAGAATTCTTTCATTTGCAAAGCGAAGATTTGGCTAATTTCACAGAAGAGAGAAACAGAGCTAAAGCGAGAGCCAGTGTGAATGTGTGTGTGAGAGAGAGGGGAGAGAGAAGAAGAAGAGATCGATTTTTCAATAAGATGTTCTACTGTTGCGAAAATAAAATTATGTAAAAGCCTTCGGCAAACTCTTTCAAAGCGTAGCTCTCACACTTCATACAAAATTGGCTAATCATCAAGAAAGAAAGAGAGAGAGATGGATAGACATAGAACAGAGCTAAGAGCAGAATCAATAAGATTCTTCTCTGATAAATTTGCTAAAAATATATGTTGAACTAAGAATCTAACAATCGTTCATAGTTCAACATGATTCTCCCTCTCTACTTCTCTCTCTCACTGTCTGTCAACGCCCAGACTTGATAAGACTGATTCAATTACTAGCAATATTAAGAAATTATGCAAAATAGTATATTAAAACAACAGAAGAGATACCTTTCAAAATGTATTTGAAAAAAAAAGTTAAAGTAAAAAAAACTTTTGTCAAAACTCATTCATATCCAAACCGAATTCGAAGCACTGCACTCAGAGGTCAATAGCCAAGCGAGCATGTTACAAATTGATTGATTAAATGCTATATAAAGATTACGAAAAAAATGGAGAAAACTCATAAAATGCAATTTCAATTATTCAACTCACATGATAAGCGAGAGACATTCATAAATTAACCATAAGCCAGACGAAAAATCGAAGGAAAAAAAAATAAATCAAGTAACGAAGTTCAAAAATTTATGGACATTCATTGATCAGTGCATGAAGTTTTATGCTTTATGTTGTGTCGTATGTGATTTCCGTTCGGGAACTGCGCTAGGTGGGCTAGAGTCATCAAAAAAAAAAAAAAAAATACACAGACACAAAAAACAAAAAAGTAGAAGAATAGAGAAAGAAAACTAACTGAAAATCAAACTAGAAATGCAGACTGCATACTAAAACAATGGAAATAACCGTTTTTCCAGCCAGCTGCTCTCGACACAGTGGGCACTCGCTATAGTTGAAATGACAAATGAACTGAGGCGGATCATGAGAGCGACTACTGACAGTAGGCAGAAAGTTGTCAAAACAAATGGCTAAAGGCAAAGCGGATCAACTCAACTCAACTCAGCTCAGCTCAGAAATAACAATTCGAAAACAGTTGCCGAAAATGTGCAAAACTACTTGAACTAACCGTTGATCTTGAATGCCGTCCTGCGAATCATTAATCATGGCTCATCATGCAAAAAAAATAAAAAGAACATCGGGAATGGTTAACGCTTAGCTGAGCAAGAGACGCGCAGAGCTGAAGTCACCTTAAATTGCGCAGCTTCTTGATCGATTTAGCAGGAGTTGAGCAGTCGAGCACCTAAATGCCCACTTCAGAGTTTCTATTGATTATGTCGCCGCATTGTCATTAATTATGCCTTTGTTTGGGCCTGGCTGTCACTTTTGTGGTTCAAAAACGAAGAGAACTATACAAACTCGAGTGCAAGAACATTTTCAACGGGTTAAGAGCTAACCGAAAATCTAGGTAGCGAATGCCTAATGCTTATGAATTTCTAATGTTGCGTCATTAATCAACCAGTCAAAAGGTGTTTTGATTTTGGCATACGTTCAAGGCAGTCCGAAACCCAAACAATTGACATGCACACACACACACACACACACGCACTCACATGACATTGGACCGCGTTTGCAACTTCCAGCTACTTGCAACATGCAATCGCAGAAAATGTTGTGCCAAAGCGAAACTAGAACACGAATGAGAACTTTTTTCGTAGTTTATTTCAGTTGGCAATGTTGTGTATGTTGGGCGCTTTGTTTGGCCAAGAAGAATGGGAGAACTCCGAAACGAACCTAAGGTCAGCCTTAATAGGTTCGAGGCACTGAGCCATTGAACTTGTTGGGTAGCACCTTGGCTTCGTTTCGGGTAGCTAGAGAGCTTGCATTAGCACATGCTATTAATTCTTCAGCGCATTGCATTGTTATAAGCCACTCAAGACAGTTCCCGGCGACAGACGGACGGACAGTTCGACAGATGTTAACAAGCTGCCAAGAGTTGAGCTGAGCGTGAGCCTAGCAGCGAGACACCCACCAGTCCCAAGGCAGCCAGACTTGTGCTGCTGCTGCCTGTACAGGGTATCTGCTGGGCGGGTTTGCCTACTAACAGCACGCACAAAGTGCGTTAATTAACAGAAAATATGCTGCGCCCACTTGGTAACTGCAGCCGAAGGACTGCAACGCCCCACAGCAGCATTCAAATTGCCTGGCTATAGCTGGCCCTACCCCTACCCCCACACCCTGCCCCATATATGATGCTATAGACTATGCCTTCGGCTTATTATTTACGATTTTTCGCATAAATTTACGCGAACGCTCGTAAAACTGCGTGAAATACGACATTTTGAGTTCTGTGAAAGTGTAACACGAACGAACTGACTCGAGATTGGCAACTGAGATCCGAGACTGGGAGCGGCAGCGGCAGAGTGGGGGAGGCTTGAAGAGCTGCAACTGAACCTGGAGCTGAAGCTGAACCTGCGCACAAGGCTGTTCGCTGATCGAAGCGTGTGTGAGCGCTAACTCACCATGAACAATAAGCCAGCATCTCAGTGATTTGTAGCTTTCAGCGTTAACCTGGCAACAATGTTGCTAATAGATGTTGCTAAGCTGCCGACACCAACACCAACACCAACACCGACACCGACACGCAGACACCCAAAACGCTGAGCAACAAAAGCTCTAAAGTTCCTTTCGTCACGCCCTGGCTGACAAAAAGCTTCAGCTGCTCGATGTGAGTCTTAAGCTTTTGAGTGCCAGCATTTTAAGTAAATAAGCAAATTGAATTTGACAGAAAGTTAAAAACTTTTCTTTCCTTCACCTCATTCTGGCATAAATTAGGATTAATTTATTTCAGGAATTTTAAAACTGTGAAGGTTTTCTTAAAATTCCTTAAAAGTAATTTTTTTTATTAGTTTATCTCTGTTCCAAAGTTAAATTCATTTCACTCTAGCTTTAAGAAATTAAGAGGGGAAATATTTCTTTTATACGTTTTGAAAATCTCTTTTACTTTAAGAAATTTTTAACCAACCTTTAAAATCCTCTTGAAAAATCCTACTCCTTGTCTTAGTTCACCGAACTTTTCTCAATTAATTTCCATTTCAATAAATTTTAAATTCATTGTTTTTGCTACTCAACTTCTCTATATTTTCATCTACAATTTTTTCTTTTTTTTTTCTTTTTTTTTGTGCCTTTTCCAATTATACATATTATTACTTTTATTTAAAAAATTGATTGTGGTTTTTTTCTTATTTTTTCGGTTCGTGCCTTTGCTAGAAATACATTTTTGTGTCAAGTTAAGAACTCTAATATTTAGTCGTCCGCCAGGTCGCCCACTGTGAGCGTGGCTGGGGGCGCTGTGGCCGCTGCTGCGGTCACACTGAAGGGCAGACCGTGCTGCGTGGCCGAGGCCCAGCTGCGGCGTGGTAGTATCCGGCCGAAGTTGAAGTACTTCTGCCTCAGCTTATCCTTTATTTCGTCCTCGTTCATGATGGCGCTGGCCTCGCGAAAGTTGAGGAAAATGCGACCCTTTTCATCCGTTTTGATGGGCAGAATTTCGGTGCAGACGTTGCGCGCCTTCAGCAGGAAACCCTCCTCCTCCTGGGTAGTGCTGATGAGCGCCGCACCGTCACCCTGGCACAGCTGAGCCTCGGGCAGCACGACCACGGTATCTAGGCGCGAGTCCATGGACTGGGAGCGCGGCGGCTTGGCTGTGGCCACATGGTTCTTCTTCTTGCGCAGGCAGAAGGGATCCCGATCGCTGGCCTTGACGTACTGCACCACTGGCCGATTGACGCCCCACTTGGGGCGATCGTCCATTTTGTGGGCATCCTTGTCCTTGCCCTGATTCTTCCTGTTCTTGTCCTTCTCCTTCTCCTTGTCCTTGGTCTTCGCCTTGAACGTGGTCGTCGTCGTCGTAGTGGTGGTCGTCGTTGTCTCGTGGTCCTTCTCCGCCGCCGACTCCTTCGCCGGCTGTGTTTGGGTCTTCGACGTCTGCGTCGTGGTCGTGGTGGACACCTCTCGCTTTAGCAGCACCTTGTAGAAGTTGTCGTGGAACAGACACAGATCGCAGTTGAGTGGCAGCTCCGTCTGGGTCTCCACATCCGCTTGCAGAGCGCCCTCAGTGGCTCGCCTCAGCCTGCTCGCCGACTCGCTGGCTGCAGCAGGAGTCTTCACTGGGATCAGCGCCAGTTTGTCCTGCTCGGCTGGCTGTCGCGCAATGTCCACCTCCAGGGAATCCGGCGAGAAGAAGCCGCTGGCCGTCTCCAGGGCAGTGCGCCCCGAGCGTGCCGTGTGCAGCAGTTCCTCATCCTCCTCCTCCTTCTCCGCCTGGTAGCCATCCTCGGTGCAGATCGAGGTCTCTGTGCGCTGCGTCATGGTCGCCTTGGAGTAGCTCCGCTCCGTGCTGGCCGGCGGTGGCACCGGCGCCGGCTGCTGCATGAAGTACGTGGCAATCTGCAGATTCCCAATGGCATTCTGCAGTCCGAATATGTCCGTGGTCACGGGCAGCGGGATCAGTGTGGCTGGCTGCATGAGCAGCGCCAAGTTCTCCTTCTCCTCGACAGAGCTCGTCGGCTTCGCCTTTGTCTTTCCGGGTGACTCCTTGGCAGCGCCCTCTGCGCTCTCTGCGGCCGGTTGCTTGATGGGCTTCGTGATGGTGCGCCTCAGATTGATGGGCGTACCAATGAGCACCTTCTCCTCGGAGACCACAGCAGGCGGAGCAGCAGCTGCTGCTGGTGGTGGTGGTGCTGCTGCTGCTGCAAGAGGAGGAGGCGGCGCTGCACGCGGCGTATGACTCTCTGCATCCGCTGCATGCTCAAGTTGCTCCTCAACAATCTCTTCCTCTTCCACGGAGAGCACCTGCAGCAGCTCCGGCCTGTCGGCCTGCTCCTGGCTCAGGGCTCGCTCGCGATTCTTGCGCTTCTTTTGCTTCTCCATTTTGGCGGCCACCTCCGCCTTGGCAATGGCATCCAGCATCGCCTGCTGCTTCTTGCGCTGCGCTTCCTCGCGCTCCAGCATCTGGCGACGCTCGTGCTCCAGTCGCTCCTGCTCCAGTTGCTTCTGCCTGCGCATGCGCTGCTCCTCCAGCTGCTCCTCCTGCCTGTGCCGCTCCAGCTCCCACTTGCGTATCAGCTCGCGCTCCTGCAGCTGCTTCTTGATCGCATTGTGATACTCGGCCGCCTTCCGCCGCTTGTCCATGCGCTCGGCCAGCGTGTGCGCGTCGAGCGGCGCATTCTGCCCACGCAGATAAGTGGAGGAGGATTGCACCGACTGCGCATCGTCCTCGCTGTCCTTGAGATCGTGCATGCCACGATTCAGCCAACCCGCCGGCACCGCCACCGCCACCGGCTGCTGCCCGTTGTAGTTGGCCCAGCGGGCGCGCTCCCGATCCCGATCCCGCTCCTGCACGTAGTAGTCCCCCTGCTCGCAGCTGTTGCTGATGTGCACCTGGTAGGTGTTCGACGTGGACACGTCGCGACTGAGACTCACGTTGGAGCAGGTCGACGGAGCGGCCACATAACAGCAGCTGCTCAATTGGAGAGGAACCCATTAGCCTCCACTCGAACTTGGTTAGATTCTAGGAGTTCGCTACTCACCTGTCTGCCAGGTAGCCATCGGCTGCCAGTGGCTCATAGCTGTGGCGCTGTGCAGCCCCACGGCGCGTCGGCTTGGACGCTTGAGCGCCAGCAGTGGGCGTGGGCGTAGGCAGGGGCTGGGGCATAGCCATGGGCAGGGGTTGGGGTAGGGGCATGGCCGCCCCCTGTATCGATCGCCTCAAACGCGAGGCGTTGCCAACGCTCTCCTCGGTCTGGCTGGCGCTGCCCATACCACTAATGCTCCCATTTTGGCTGGCTGCATCGTTGTACCAAATGTCGGGCGTGTGTGTGTTCTTGGGCGTGTCGCTCAGATAGCCGGAAGTGTCCTCTTCCTGGCAACCAACTGGCGCTTGGCTCCCATTCGGATTGTTTAATCGATGTGGCATGTTGGCGTTGCCGGGATCAATGTTTGTTCCCTTCACGTTGCCATTGACTTGGCCAAGTTGATTGGCCGCTTTTAGCTGCTGCTGCTGCTGCTGCTGCTGTTGTCCCTGTTGCCTGCGCCCTGCCTGATACTCCCGCTTCCTGATTGTGGGCAAACTGGGACTCCTTAGCCTGTGCTGCTGCTGCTGGTGCTGCTGCTGCGGAGGGTGTTGCATGCGCCCCTTGGCCGTTTGCAGCGCCGTGGGCACCAGCTCTACGTAGCGGCCGGGTGGCGCCTGCAGCTGTCGCTCGGACATGCCGGGCGCATAGCTGCCACGTCGCTGACGCCTGTACAGCAATTCATCGTCCTCAAAGTCCGCATCGGCATCCACGTCCAGCTCGTCCATGTAGCGATCCACCTGGTTCATGTAGTCCTCGCTGCGCTGCCGCTGCACTGGGCGATAGTCCGCGGCGGGCTGCGGCCGCACAATCAGCTGCATGGGCGGAGCGGGCGGCTGGCGGGCATGGCTGGAGGTCTGGTTCGAGGAGCTCTGGCTGAGATCCAGATTGGAGTAGTACGTGCGTATGGAGGTGCGCTCGATCTTGTGGTGCGAGGTGGACGAGGTGTGCTGATGGTGGTACAGCTCATCCATGCGCGCTATCTCCTCTGCCAAGGGAAGACACCGTTAGGAGCTGCTCTAACGGAGGCTGCACTACACTCACCTCTTTCCTTGGCCCACTGCTGCTTCTTCAAGTCCAGCAACCTATGCGTTTGTCTAGCTTCCGGACCCGTAATCATGTCTATTCACCTAGTTCATTGCACTTGAGAGAGAGAGAGAGAGAGAGAGAGAGAATTGACGTCACTGGAGTTGGACACCACGACGGGACAAGGCTAAGGCGAACACTAAATGCGAACAACTCAACGAAATTCCATCAAACTCGCGACACTGAGCCAAAATTCGATTTGTTTTGCATTGGAATGCCCTGCCAAACGTCGCCCTGGCAACGTGGCACTTGTAAACAAATGGGGAATATGTCCCAAACAGCACGACTACAATTGCATACCCTTTCTTAAATCAGCTTAGCTAAGGAGAAGTTCAGGTAATTTTATTAAAAATCAATTAAGTTTGCGTTAGACAAATACGAGTTAGGGTTAGTCTACCCCTTTCCAGTCCTATATATACCACTGCCATCTCCACTTTCATTTAGCATTTCAAAATCGATATACCCCATTGTAAGTGCATGGCAAAACTTCCTCAATGACTGTGACGGGGCTAAAAGTCCTTGCACTCCACGCGCAGTGGGTTACTGCAATCAGGTGCGCCTCGCGTGCGAATCGCTCATTGTCTACAAGTTTCGGAAGGTTCGTACACCCCTAAAAATATACGCAAATGGACTACACAAATAGACATTTGAATAAATTAAGGGTGAAGAGACTTGAGAATGGGCCAGCTCCGTTAACTGTTTATTGATTGGTCGAAATTCGTTAGCCATGCAAATAAGTTCCTTGGGCTGGGCAGCAACAAGTCAAGTCGGCCAAGTCAGTGGCCTTATCAACTGGATCAGAGAGTAGAAAGGCCAAATGCGTAGGTGTCAGATGCGGAACGTCCTTCGTTCGTGCCCAAAGAATGCAACTCGATTAAGAGGGTACAACCTATCTACCTCTACCTACCTCGGCCTACCTCGGCCTACCTACCAGAGCGTCTCTGAACAGAAAACTTTATTTCCCATGGTCAAATAGAAATGGCCAAAGATAAAAGGAAGAAATATCTCATAACCCATTTTCCATAAACATACATAAACCACAAAAGCCACAGCAAAAGTTAACCAGACACATTGCTGTTGTTGTTGCTGTTGTTGTTTGGGTTGCTTGTGTTGTTGTTGCTGTTGGGTCTGGTTTATACGCGTGGGCGTAGAAATCACTGCCAGTCAAAAGGTCATGTTATGATCTTGAGCGAACTATGTGTCTAAGTCCAACGATGACGCTGAGGAGCATGGGAGCCCGAGCTCAGCTCAAGCGATTGCAGTTGCAGCAACACAACACACACAACAGCAACAACAACAACAGCAATGGAGATCAAAGACACAGAGCAAAAAGAGCAGAGCAAAACGGATCAGTGTAGAGCGAAACTGCGGATGGTACGGCAATCAAGAAATCCCACTTGATACAAGTGCATTTATAAGACATTATAATGAGTTTTTATAAACTTAAACAGGGTCGCTCATCGCTCGTCGGTCGTCGGTCGTCGGTCGTCGCTGCCTTAGGGCGTCACTTAACTAGACTTGAACTTGGACAGGCTCTTGACTCGGGCACTGCGCAGCATTGATCATGGCTGAAGATGATAATTGCTATGAGCTAGGTCAGCAGCCAGACAGTTGGGCAAGCGCAGCGTATGTCACCAATCCACTCTTACCCATAGAAAGTGATCAGTGATCAGCGATCAGTGATTAGTGATCGGTGATCGGTGATCAGTGATCAGTGTGACCAGTGATCGGGCTAAAAATAATCGTGTCTTATGGCAGCCATTTAGTCAGCAATTTTCATACATCTTGGCAAAAGATTTCACTCGGTGTCCGAGCGTTCGGGCCAATTGAACGATCAGCAATCATTCGATCGCTCTATCGATCGATCGATCGATCGATCGTTTGTTCGTTCGATGTATCATTTAGTGTGTAACCTCAATACGGCGATCAATAAACAAACAAGCCAAATGCCTAATAATTGTAATTTACCATATTTTTGTCGACTATATGACGATCATAGACGAACCAAACACGATCGGTGGGTGCCCCGTGGCAGAGTGGAAGTGGGAGTGGGAGTGGAAGTGGAACTGGGAGCGAACGCCAGGGCAGCTCTCTTGGGCAAGCCGCAGAGCCAACACTCGTAGCTTCGATGGGCAATACATATTGATCAAAATTGATGATGTTGACACGAACTTTGAACGAGCTCCAAACAAGCGATGATGACTCTACGATCGGCAAGCACTGTCTACCTCGATGACGACGACGACGACGACGACGACGTCGACTCCACTCCACCTGCTTCTCTTTCAGCTTCAACGATGTTGTTGTTGTTGTTTTCTGTAGTCTTCAAGGGTTTCTTGCCGATATTTTTGAATCGTTGAACGATTTTCCCAAGTGTTTTTCGATTAAGCAACAACAATAACAACTCTATGAATTCTCAAGTGAGAGTATCACACAATCGATACATACACTTATCAGCCAGACTCGAGCAGCGCAACTATTCGATAGCTGAAATTTAAGCTAATTGAAGATGGCTCGGCTCGCTGGGCTCTTCAATTCCATTTGACATTTGCCGTTTGTGCTTGTGTTTGTGTTTCTTTTGAATGGGTTCAAGTGTTTCTCTTTCTGAAGCATTTAATTGTTCAGATGACACTTTTGGCTTTTGTCTAGTCAACAGAATTTCTGGCAATACAAATTTGTGGCGGTTTTTCTTTAGTGTGTTGCAATCGAAGCGCGTTCTCTTCGTAACTTTCAATTAATGTAGTTAGTCTCCATCGTTGCCAAAAATGGTTAGCCAGACAAAACGTTCCGAGACGTCCACAACAACAACAGCAACAACAATAACAATGACAACAAGCAATGTGACCAACTGTCTGCTGGTCACATTGTAGCGCCAACACTCGCCAACAACTGTCAGGTGTTTAGATGCCTACCTCAGAGCTCTCTCTCTCTCACGCTCTTGCTCTGGATCTCTCTGTCTATCTCTCTCTCTATTTCTGTCTAGCGCCACGAGTCGCATTAGTCTAAGACTTAAATGGAGTCTAAGCACTTGGGCAGTCAGCTTGTAATGCTGTAAGAATAGAGTCTGAGAGGCCTTGACTCATGTTATATAGAGGGGTAGAAACGAAGTGATGCAATAATCCTTTAGCCTTTTCTCAGCTAAGAGCTCTTTTAGCAATTGAATTAATAAATAAAAAATATTTAAATATTCCCATAAATATGTCTGAGGCGCTGCTTTTATTAATTAGAGACTCTTAGATCATATTATGTTCATGAATTTCTTTGTTGGTCTCCCATATAATAAAATATATAAAATTATTTTTTTTTTTTAAATTTTATTTATATTGTATCTGACACAAACCCCCCATAAATCACTGCATTTATTGATCTAAACTATCCTCATATAGATTGCTTAAGGAAACCTTAATGAATAGTTTTCGAAATTCCGTAACATTATTCCAAATGCCATAATCGAAATTCTCTTGGCAATCTCAATCGGTTTAATAGCCTCTACCCAACTATATATTCTCTCTTCAGCTTCCACATCTCTTCGTATTCAATATGACCAGAAATGTGCTGAAGTGCAACTAGAGTTCGGTTCAAAGTTGTTGCAGCTTGTTGCAGCTTGTAATTGTTGCCACTCGTCGTTGTCGCTGATTGTCAGTGGGGCTGTTGCTGTTGCTGTTGTCCTCTCTGGCTGACAACATGCTACACTTTGGTCACTATAATGAGCCGTAATTAGTGCTGATGTGTGGACAACTCAGATGCCTTGGCTAACTATTCGCCATGATAGGCCGCGTGTGAAAATTTGCGCGCTTTTTGATAATTGCGACAAAGCGCTGTGAGTCGTAGCTAACTGAATGTTGTTGTTGTTGGTTGCAGTTGTTGTTGCTTGCAGTTGTTGTTGCTAGTGATCGTTGGCGGCTCGCTGACATGGCCATGCATCAACGTCGGTGTCGCAGACGTCTGGCTAAATGAAAGGAAAACTGATTAGCCTTGACAAGTTCAAATTGTTTGGCGTAGGGTTGGGATTGGAAACGCGTTGAGTGAAAGCGTTTGGGGGGCCTCTGAATAAAATCTCTTTCCCCAAAATAAAAAAACCAAGCAAGAGACACAAGCAAATAAAAAACCGAAAGAAAAACAAAATATCAAAATGTCCACTGATTGCCAGCGCTTGTCGTACGGCCAGACAGTCAGACAGCCAGCCAGTTGGCTAACGGTTAATACAGTCCATCATTATCAGCCACCAACACCGCCTAGCAGTAAAAGAAATGCGTTGCAGCAACAAGCAGAACAACTGCAACTGCAACAGCAACAGCAACAGCAACTGCAACAGCTCTAAGGTCAGTTAGAGACCAAAAAATTGTTGTGCACACACACGGCGGCAGCCTAAAAAAAATATTCTCACAAGGCTGCTTGCGGCTCAGTGCGGCTGGTTCTGCTGGCCACCGTCCGTCGTCCATGCAGTCTCAGTCTGAGTCTCAGGCTCAGCCTCAACCTCAGCCAGAGCCTGCAACATGAAACAGGTGTGGCACATCGCGTCTACAATGCGCATCGTAACTACACACACACACACACACTCACACACGAACACACCAGGCCGGGCCAAAGCCAAAAACTGGGAGGCTGCCCCAGCCGTTTTGGCCAGGCCATCTCTGCGGCTTGACTCCATCTGCGGCAGTAAGTGTGCACTGAGCGAAATATTTAATATGCATATGACAAGTTTTTCTTTTGAGAAACCAAAGAGAAGTTTTGCTGAGATAAATATTTAATCTAACCCTAGATTGTGATATGACGTAGAGAATTACTATAAAGAAAATTAATATAAATTAATTATGAAAAATGTTATTTAAATGAGCAATTCTAAATTATAAAAATATATAATAATACAAATAAATTAAATAATTAAAATATAATATAAATAATAATAAATATGATTTTAATAAATATGTATATAAATAAAATATATTACGAAATGTATTATTAATATTCAATAACAAATTTATTACAAAGTATTTAATAATAATATAAAATAAAAAATTAATATTTAATATAAATATATCAAATAAAATAAATGAATTAAAATAAATATCATTCAATCATATAAAATATATAATATAAATAGAAAGCATGTAATAAAAGCATAC